TCGCCCACAACCGACCGATACCCTTCACTTGGCCCCCCCCTGGCACCGGCACCTCACCCACAGAATCTCTGTTCTTGGGACCCTCCACCCACGATTTCCCACCCAAAGCCGACCGACACTCCCACCTGGCTCCCAATCTGGGCCCCGGCATGCCCACCCACAGAACCTTTGATCTTGGGACCTCCCACCCCGCGATTTCTCACCCAAAACTGACCGATACCCTTCACCTGGCCCCCCCCCACCTGGCCCCGGCATCCGCGCTCGCAGAATCTGTGCTCTCGGGATCTCCCACCTTACGCTTTCTCGCCCACAACCGACCAACACCCCTCACTTGGCCACCACCTGGCCCCGGTAGCCTCACCCACAGAACCTCTGTTCTTGGGACCCTCCACCCACGATTTCTCGCCCAAAACCGACCGATACCCCCCGCCTGGCCCCCACCTGGCCCCGGCATCCCCACCAACAGAACCTATGATCTTGGGACCCCCCCCACCCCGCGCGTTCGCGGCCAAAACCAATCGAGACCACCCACCTGGCCCGCACCTGGCCCCGGCATCCCCGCCCACAGAACCTCCGTTCTCGGGGCCCCCCACCCCGCGATTTCGCGCCAAAAGCCGACCAATACCCGCCACCTGGCCCCCACCCAGCCCCGGGATCCCCACCCACAGAACCTCTGTTCTTGGGACCCTCCACCCCACGATCTCTCGCCCAAGACCGACCGATACCCCCCACCTGGCCCCTTCCCTCCTCGCCTCGGCATCCGCACCCACAGAACCTATGACCTTGTGACCCCCCACCCTACGCTTTCTCGCCCAAAACCGACCGACACCCCCCACCTGGCCCGCACCTGGCCCCGGCATCCCCACCCACAGAACCTCCGTTCTCGGGGCCCCCCACCCCGCGATTTCGCGCCAAAAGCCGACCAATACCCGCCACCTGGCCCCCACCCAGCCCCGGGATCCCCACCCACAGAACCTCTGTTCTTGGGACCCTCCACCCCACGATCTCTCGCCCAAGACCGACCGATACCCCCCACCTGGCCCCTTCCCTCCTCGCCTCGGCATCCGCACCCACAGAACCTATGACCTTGTGACCCCCCACCCTACGCTTTCTCGCCCAAAACCGACCGACACCCCCCACCTGGCCTTCACCAGGCCCCGGCATCCCCACCCACAGAACCTCTGTTTTTGGGGCCTCTCACCCCATGATCTTCAACCCAAAACCGACCGACACCCCCCACCTGGCTCCTAATCAGGGCCCCGGCATGCCCACCGACAGAACCTTTGATCTTGGGACCCCCCACCCCACGTCTTCTGTCACAAAACCAACCGATATTCCCCACCTGGCCCCCACCTGGCCCCGGCATCCTCACCCACAGAACCTCTGCTCTTGGGGCCCCCCACCCTACGATTTTTCACCCAAAACCGACCGATACCCCCCACCTGGCCCCCACCTGGCCCCAACATCCCACCCACAGAACCTCTGTTCTTGGGACCCCCCCACCCCACGATTCTTCGCCCAAAACCGACCGATACCACCCACACCTGGCCCCCACCTCGCACTGGCATCCTTACCCACAGAACCTTTGTTCTTGGGACCTCTCACCCCGCGATTTCTCGCCCAAAACCAACCGATTCCCCGCGCCTGGCCCCCACCTGGCCCCCGCATCCCCACCCGCAAAACCTTTGATCTCGGGACCCCCCACCCCGCGAATTGTGGCCCAAAACCGACCGATCCCCCCCCACCTGGCCCCCACCAGGCCCCAGCATCCTCACCCACAGAACCTCTGCACTTGGAACCCCAACCCTACGATTTCTCGCCCAAAACCGACCGATACCCTTCTGAAGCTCCCAGGGGGGATGCGAACGCATGCCGTCCCCCAGCCCATTCTGGCACACCTCTCGCACGTTTACTGGCCCCATGCGGAGATTCCCCTTCTTCGTCCCACCTGCCTTACGATACTCACGCTTGCATCTAGTCGGGTCCTTCGCCCGGATGCAACAAATACAGGGGTGCTCTCGCATCCTACGTCCTCTAGCTTATCATCAGGAACGAAATCAGATGGAACAGTTGCACGGGAGGAGTGCGATTCGTTTTCAACATGGGGCTCGCGTTGAGGACATCCTTTACCTGAGCTGCGAAACGCAGATGGAAGGCGCCTCCTTGTGTTAAACCAGAGCTCTCGAAGCACACTTCCACGAACCCCCTTCCTCGTTGCATCCCTTCTGGCTAGGGGAGGAGGGGTAGGATGAGGAGGAGGAGGAAGACGAGGAGGAGGAGGGAGGAGGAGGAGGAGGAGGAGGAGGAGGAGGAGGAGGAGGAGAAGGGGGAGGTGGAGGAGGAGGGGGAGGAGGAGGAGGAGGCGGAGGAGGAGGAGGAGGAGGAGGAGAAGGAGGAGGAGGAGGAGGAAGAGGAGGGGGAGGAGGAGGACGAGGCGGGGGAGAAGGAGGAGAAGGGAGAGGAGGAGAGGAGGAGGAGGGGAGGGGGAGGGGGAGGGGGGGGGAGGGGGGAGGGGGAGGAGGAGGAGGAGGAGGAGGAGGAGGAGGAGGAGGAGGAGGAGGAGGAGGAGGAGGAGGAGGAGGAAGGTGCTGGGCAGTTCCTTTTCAAGACGGGGCTCTCGCATGAGTTGCAAGGCACGCATTGGGCGCTCGTCTTTCCAGGGGGCGCTACCCGTTGTGAGAGGCAGAGCTTCTAGCGACTGCTTGAAAAGGAGCTTGGGGCGGGAATGCACCTCGCAGCATCGCTGACGCATCCTGGGCTTACCCTGGTCCTTGTCCTGCTCATCTTCTCTCCTCATCCTGGTCCCGTCCTTCTCTCCTCCTGCTCCTCCGCCGCCTCCTCGGTCCTCCACCTCGCCCACCCCTTCGATAAGCCCTCCTCGTCCATCATCCCTGCTTCCTGATCCTTCCTTGCTCCCTCCTTCTCGCGGCGTCGGCGAGAAGCCCCTGGCGGCAGGGACGAGGGTCCTCATCAATCCTCTTTCCTGCTCCCCGCTCCAGTCCCTCCCTCCTCTCCATTCCCCCTTTCTGCTCCCTCCTCCGCCCATTTCACTCACGCGTGAACTTCAGCACCACAACTGCACCTGTTCACCATGGCGAACTGCTCTGCATGCGTTCCAGCAGCACCTCCCCCCCTCCCTGCTCATCTGCGCCCCTCCTCCTCCCTCCGCCTCCTCCCTTTGTCAACCTGCCCCTACTCCAAGCCTCCGGCCCCATCCTACCAAAAGTGTCCTATTCCCACCCCTCATCCATCTCAGTCTTACTCGGTCCCTCTCCTCCTTCTCCTCCTCCTCCTCCTCCTCCTCCTCCTCCTCCTCCTCCTCCTCCTTACCCTCCCCCTCCTCCTCCTCCTCCTCCTGCTCCTCCTACCTCCTCCGTCCTCTCCTCCCTCTACATCCTCCGGCATCTCCTCCCTGATCCACTCTATATGTTCCTCACTCCGCATGGTGCGTCCTCCTCCCCGCCCTCCCCCTTATCCGCCTCCTCGCCCCCGTCCTCCTCCTGACGATGATGTTGATCATCATCATCATCATTATCATCATCATCAGCAGCATCATCAGCATCATCAGCATCAACATCAGCATCATCATCAGCATTCTCATCATCGTCGTCGTCATCATCACCATCATCATCATCATCATCATCATCATCATTACCAGCAGCAGCATCATAATCAGCGTCATCGTCATCATCAGCAGCATCATCATCACCACCATCATCACCATGATCAGCATCGTCATCATCAGCAGCAGCAGGAGCAACAACATCATCGCCATCTGCATCAACATCGCCACCACCACCATGGTCATCAACATCCTGATTCCCACCACCATCGCCATCAAAACCCACCACGAGCATCATCAGCACCACAAGCGCTACCGACAGAATACTGCCCACATCCCCATCCCACAACCGCCTCCACTTCATCCTCCTCCTCCACATCACAATCCGAATCAGAATCTTGGTCAGCCTCGCCATCATCACCATCAGCCGCATCATGGTCATGATCAGCATCAACATCAGCATCATCATGCATTAACGCCCTCATCATTATCATCATCAGCCTCATCATCATCATCATCATCATCATCATCATCATCATCATCATCATCAGCATCATCATAATTAAGCATCATCATCAGCAGCATAATCATCATCATCATCATCATCATCATCATCATAATAATCACCAGCATCATCATCATCAGCATCAGCATCAGCATCATCATCATGATCATCGTGGCCGACATCAACAGCAGTAGCAGCATCATCGGCGTCGTCGTTACCATGAGCACATCATCAGAAGCGTCATCAACATTATCGTCATTGTCATCATCATCTTCATCAGCAGTACCATCATCCCCATCATCATCACGATCAGCATCATCATCAAAATCAGAATCATAATCAGCATCGTCATCATGATCATCATCATCATCATGATAATCGTCGTCATCAAAAGCATCGTCATCATCAGCATCGTCATCATCAGTATCATCATCAACATCATCATAAACATCACCATCATCATCAGCACCCATCATCACCATCGTAATAGTCATCATCATTTTCATCATCACCATCATCATAAACAACATCATCATCAGCATCACCACCACAGCATCATCAGCATCGTCATCGGTATCACCAGCAACAGCATCATCACCATCGTCATCTTCATCGTCATCCTCAGACACATCAGACTCATCATCATCAGCAGCATCATCATCATGACCATCATCATCAACATCATCATCATCATCAACATCATCACCATTACCTTCATCAGCATCCTCATCCTCATCCTCATCCTCATCCTCATGATCAGCATCATCATCACCAGCATCAGCATCAACATCATCATCCTCATCATCATCAACATCATCGCCCCTTCTCCACCTCCTCCAAATTATCGTGCTCGTCCTGCCCCCGCCTTTCTCGGCCTCCTCGCTCCCTTCCCTTTCGTGTGCTTCTCGGCATCCCGCGTGCCCGGCACCCCTCCCTGTGTCGCGCGAGGTGACCTCCGTGTGCTCCACCGAGAGGCCTTTGTCCCGACACACGTCCTCTGCTCGACGTGGGCGGGCGATCCCCCGAGGCAGGGCAAACATACCGCCACTTCCTCTCGCTGCGACCAAGCCACGGCAAGCGGTTTGGAGCCGTGTTCGGTCTCTGGGGGTCTTGCCGAGCCCATTGACAATCAAGAGCACGACTCAGGATGAGAATCCGGTCCCCAGGAAGGGGTCCAGATCCCCGGGCGCCTGGATTGTGAACGAATCACGACGTCGGCGTTCTAGGCATCCACCGACTGGGGAACCGGCATCCCAGGACCAGAACGAGATTCTGCGGCGCGCCTCCGCATGCCACGACGGCCCCAGAGGGCCCAAGATGCCATCAAGACGACCATGAAAGGCCCGCCGAGGGCCCCAAGACAGCCAAGAGAGGCCCCGAAGACGGCCTCCGAAGGCGTCAGGCGGGCCAAGAGAGCCCCGAGAAGGCCCAAGAGACCCTCCGGGGCCACCAGAGCTCCAGAGGCCCCCAAGAGGCCCCCAAGAAACCCCTCGGGGGCCGCCAAGCAGCCTCCAGGAAGCCCCCCCCGGAGGCTCCAAGAGGGCCACAGGCAGCCCACGAGAGACCTCATCCTCTTTGTCTCTTTCTTGATCCTCCTCTCTCTCTGAATCCTCCTCCTCCTCTCTCCTCGCCTCTTCTCCTCCCTCTCCTCTTAATCCTCCTCTGTCTCTACCTCTCTCTCTCTCTCTCTTTCTCTCTATATCTCACCCCCAACCCTTAGTGTCCCTCCCAGACCTTCCACAACGGCTGGGGGAATACGTAGTACCACGGCTTGGGCACAAACATGGCCCAACGGTTGGCAACAGGAGCGGCGGCGATTCGCAGCAGGCATTTTCGATCCGACCCCCCGGTAGCCTGCAAAGGGGTGTTGGCGTGCCAGGCTATACAGCCTTTGTGGGTCCTTTGAACGAGCTTCTGGTGGCCTCGGGACCGCCCCGCAGGCCGCGCCACAAGATCTCCAAGTCCACAGAAATCCGCCTCGAACACACACACACATACACACACACACACACGCACACACACACACACACCACAAGATGGTACACAAAATGGCAGACATACAAGACGGCACCCAGACGCCTCCAAGACGGACAAGATGGGCCCAAAATGGCCCCAGGATGGCCCAAGGTGGACTCAACACGGCCCCAGTGGCCTCCAAGACGCCCCAAGCAAGCTCCAGGAGGAGCATCATGAGGCCCCAGGGAAGCCAAAACGTTGATGTTCCATTGGTTGTTATGCTCTGTCGCGTTCTCGCCTTTTCGGTCTTCTGCAGGGGGCCCTAGCATCGGCTCGATTAATCAATTAGGATCACGCGCGCGCGATAGTCGAATCGGCGGAAATCGGCAAAAATCGGCTGCGCCATCGAATCGGCAACGGTCAGCTAATCCGAGCCCGATCGAGTCGAAAACCGACTGACGTGAAGCCGGATCGGAATCGAAATCGCAAGGCATGGGGGACAAGGAAGAAGGTGCCCGACTTTTGTCGTCGTACCTCGTTGTACGTCGTCGTCGTACGCACATTTTCGTCGCACGTCGTCGTGCACGTGGTCGTTCGCGTCGTCGCACACGTCGTCGGACATCGTCGACGTCGACCGTCGTCGGCTGCGGGCCCCTCGCACCTCGGAGGTATTGGGGACCCCTGGGAGCTCCTGGGGGCCTCTGGGAGCCCTTGGGGATCCCTGGGAGCTCACCGGGGACCCTGGAAGTCAGTGAGGGTTCCCAGGGGCCTCCAGAAGCCCCTGGCAGTTCCCGGGAGCCCCTGGGGGACTCTTCGGGCCCGTGGGGGCCCCTGGCGGCCCCTGGTGACCCGTGGGAGCCCCAGGAAATCCCTGAGGGAGGCCCTGAGGGCCCCTGGGGCCCTTGGGGGCCCTTCGAAATGAATCGCCCGCGCGCCCCGCAACGACGAGCAAAAGGAAGAGAAAAACACGAGAGGCAGCTGAGGGCCAGGGCCCTCTCCTCCCCAGACCTCTGGCGGATGCGCGTTTTGAGCCCGGCGGGGAACCCCCGAGAGGGCCTCCGAACGGGGACGGGAGCGCGGACCCTGCCGCCACCAGGGGAGCAGCTGGGGCGAAAGCTCTGAAACCAAAACCGCCCTAAGTGGTACCTAGAACATTTGCATCTGGCACCTCGAATTTGTCCGTTGGCTTCGACGCAGCGAAGCCTTGAGCCGATGAGGACGCAGCTTTCTTGGACAGAGCCCTGACGATATCTTGGGACCATAGGGGTCATCTTGGAGCCATGAGGATCGCCAGGGCCCCTCTCTTGGGCCGTCTTGGGGCCATCGTGGGCCGTCTTGGGGCCCTCTTGGGGGCCTCTTGGGCCGTCTCGGAACGAGCTGTCGGGCCTCTTGGGCCGTTCTTGGCCCGAAGAAGCGACTAATAATAGGAATGCGACTACACCTACCAACATCTCAAAGCATCGATTATCAATCCAGATTTTGAGCTCAGTATACAAAGCTCCACTAACCTCCTTTGGATGTGCTGCTATGTCGGCTTTGGTCAGTAGATCATCTTCTTTGACAACCGCAGCACGTTTAGCAGCAGAGGATACATATACTCTCATTGTTGCGACCATGTCGGTATCGAGCTGTGCAAGTTGAGTCTGATCCAACACTATTTTTTGACATTTCCGATGTAAAACATAATTCAACGTAAGGACCAGATTCATCACTGTCAAGGGAGTAGCTCTCGTCGGTTGTGGTTGAACAAAGAGAGACTAGACAGGATTCACTTGATTTCGGCTCGTCTCCGAGCATATCTGATGATATAATATCATCTTCGTCCACAAATGCTGAAACCAAAACACATTGGTCGGGCAGCATAGTTGTTGGGACGCAATAAAGATAATCATCAGTAATCGTCGTAGGATGAAGGTCCATACGTAGCTCGTCGTACCACTCTTCCAGCATCATAGCTTCGATATTGTGTTCCTCATTTTCCTCATAGATTGTCGACAGACGGCCTTCACTCGGCGATGAAGCATCTGGTGTGTCTGGAGAAGGCCTGTTTCCAGGCGACTCGTGTTCTCCAGACGTGTTGCTTGGATGCTGATATTTAGCCAAATCGTCGTGAAATCCTAAGGAAGGGACACGTGAAGTCAAGCATTGAATAAGTCTGGAGTGAGTGCTACCAGTGATCTGAGAAATGTTTAAGCCGGTGCCCACACATTCGTAATAGTGGAACGCCGGGCTGATGTCGTTGTCATAGTGGATCAGCGTAGACCCGGTGGCGTACTTACTGCAGGTAGGCTTGACACACTCTTAGCCAATCGAACTGCCACTACATGTTCTACTCGGAAGTAATTTCGTACGAGATACTGTAGTGCTAAGTGCACGCGCGGGTGAAAAATGCTGTCGTCTGACAGATTAAGATTTCCCTTGTAATCGGGGATATATCCAAAAACTTTGGCAGGTTTTCCTGCGCTGAGGTGTGCCACATAAGCAAGGACGGTTTGCATGGCCATATTATCCATGCCAAGTTCCCGTGTGAGGAGACATTCGATGTACAGTGTGTGACGAGCATCAGGATACATCACAATTACCTCACGAGATCCTGCCTTGACAACAATATGTCCTCTTTCAGGCACATTTCGGATCACCGGGAATGGGCCATTCCAGCCTCCATGGTCGTCCTTGGCGGCAGTAGGTCGGTGATAATCGACCAAATCCCCTGATGAGTAGAGGCGAGCGCCATCAGGAGTCGTCTTAGCCCTAAGAGCCCGATTTGTCTTGGCCACAGCAGTAGCCTGAGTTATGGCTTCTAGGCTGACTTCCCTTACACGACGTTCTCGTTCGTGTCCTGAAGTCTCGGGTCACTTGGGAAAGTCAAGGGTATCGAGATCAGGGAGGAAAGAGGGCTGACGTCCTGTGTGTGCCTGATATGGCGATACTCCGTTACAAAACGTAAACGCATTAGTAACGAAGATGCCTTCCGCCAATACTCTAGTGAATACAACAGGGGTGTTGTGTCTATTCCATTCTTCCTCAATCATGTGGAGGACGCCTCTAAGAATGCCGTTTCGTGACTCAATTGAAGTCGCGCGTTGGCCAAGTGCTCGGATGCGAAGTTCCGTGCCCTTATTGGCCATCATGGTTTAGCGGCATCGTTATTCAGGGCGCCTTCTCCGTCTGAGTATAAAACTTTGAAGGGTCCGTGATAGGCAATCCAGCAGTTGTGGTAGGCGTCGATGATAGTGTCGCGTTCTCTGTCGGAAATTTCTAGGCCTGCTGCCAGACGAATACAACGATCCATAATATGAAATATGGTCCGTTTCTGGTAAAACATGAGGTCCATTTCCCCTTCATCGAGCCAGTTACCAGGAAGGCTCACCGATGGTAGTGTTGAGTTTCCTGGACGTTCCCACGCTCTGCATTCCCGACAGGTATCGCAAACTTCCTTGATCATGTTGAGTCGAACGCTATCAAGCCCCACCTTTTCGAGGATTAGCCTCATCTTTGGCTCCTTCGCATGATACCATCGCAGATGCAGTTTTCGGAGTTCCTTTTTCACGACATGAGGTTCGTGACTACGGAGACTCTGTAGACTGTGTTGGATGTCGAATCTCGTCCAGTCGGGTAGTCGTGGAGCCCCAGAGCCGGTGGAGGCAAGAGGGTTCCTTGTAGCTCTCCGTAGTTGGTCCCCTGTGTTAACTGCGTCTGGAGGTGGTGGTACGCCTTGTAGACGGCCGCGGCGGGCCGCTACCTGTGGCACTTCGCTAGAAGACGCAGAAGGCGTGTTTCCACGCTCGGGGGCGTCTCGTAGCATGTCGTAGCTGCTGGCACCAGATGTCGGATCGACGTTGCCGAAGGATCGTGGTCGTGGTGGCCTGGCGCGTGCGCCTTGACGGCCACCTGAAGCTGAAGCTTGGCCCTCACCAGGTTTGGGTAAGGGTTTCCACCAAGCTGGCACGGTTTTGCCTTCGGGGTCGTGGTCGTCTGGTAGTTTAAATGGTTCAGCAAAACGACATTTACCAGGTTCGGTATCGAGGTGGTTCTTAAC